TTTGAAAGATAATAGAATAATTTTAACCTAGATGAAAAGAAAAAATAAATTCCGTATATAAATAAAGTTTTTAGGTATTTTTAAAACATCCACTCTTCATTCATCATCTACTGGATTCCCCATTATAGACTTAAAATTAAAGCACAACTTTAAAAATCTCTTAAAAATCAAATATTTGTTTGGTTTTGTTTTACCGCATATAATTTTTTTTTTAAACGGCCTCGGCCGAAATTGAACTCACTACACCTTTCCAGTATTCCTTATCTGTCATAGCTAATACTTTGATTAGTGTATTTCGTAATCTTGTCAAATAGCTGAATACCCTTGATGCTTCGCTAGGGCTATCAAGGGTGTTTTTATCGTGTCACCATCACTAAATGGATTCCCAACTAAGGCTCAGATTCACCCTCCGCAGGTTTTGAATTCAGAGTTTTCCTTCTCCTAGACTAGTTGCCATCGAAGGCTATAGAACCCAGTCTGTCCTGCTATTTTACTCATAGCTACAGAGAGAAGAAGAGGATTCACACCTTTCCCAAGGGTATTAGCACGTAAGTGAATGTAATAGATTCGACTGGAATTCGAACTCGGCTCTCCGATTTCTCAATCCAAGCTGCTATCCATTACTCCACCGTGCCTCCTTAGCCGCATATAAAAAGCGTTATTTAATGCCGACAATTTTTATGGCGAGAAATATTTTTTTTTTCGAAAATGTATTGCCGGTAATAATTTTTTCCTCAAAAATTTATTACTGGTAATAGTTTTTTTTTTTTACAAAGTATTTCTTATATAAAAACCTATTTTTACATTTTCACGGTGTTTTAACCCCAGTTTGGGTGTTAACTATTTGTACTAACCCTAACCCTAACCCTAACCCATAGGCGGGAGCCTGAAAGGTGTTACCACCCCGGGTCATGGTGGACCTGGGAACACCAGAAATTAAGAGGTGGTTCCATGCTCCTCAAAACCTCCTGATCAAAGGCTTTGCTGTCGGACGTAGTTTACCGTCATGCCCAGGACGGTCAAATATTTGTTCCAGAAACTTTTTCAGTGCTAATTAGCGAAGGTAAGGATGAGTTTCCAGGATTTCGTAAAAATTGCACTTACTTTGTGCTTACTCCAACTATGGTGACTAGTAGAACAGTGTAGGTTCTCTAGGCTTGGTAAAAAGGAAAACTCTGATCTCATAACTGCATGTATCAGTAGCGAGGCACATAATGCAGCTAAGGAAAGGATCGTTCGCATTAACTCAATGATCCTTTCCCTGACCAAATTATAACTTATTCATATATATATATATATATATATATATATATATATATATATATATATATATGCTATGGATGACATTATATATGCTCTTGAAAAATTAATTTCGGTTGAGCTCTCCGGGAAGGAAGTATGAGTTTGTAAACAGTGAATATTATGGCTGATATAGCGAGACTTTTCGGTAAAGCGAATCGAGTCCTGTCGGTCACTGTGTGTTTATCTAAAAATAAATACGCTTAAATTCACCTTCATCCCGACGGCTTAGTAGTAGAATCTCCGACTGACGCCGATTCAGTCGGGTTTCGATCCTAGCTCGAGTGCAACCGGACGTCTAGCCACACTGAATAGCTGTGATACTGCGAAACATTCTGTCTGTAAATGACATTATATATATATATATATATATATATGTGTGTGTGTGTGTGTGTGTGTGTTCTGGTCTCATTGGAGCTAAAGAAGTACAACATTGATATAGCTGCACTGAGAAGTAACCATCAGTCGACTACACAAAACGAGAAAGCAAAATAAAACATCTAACAATGTTCCTGCAGCACTTGCCTACAATACCTTCTGTACTGTGATCTTTTGTGCAATTCTCGAGCTGGTCTCAAAAGTCATGCCTGCCATAGGCATGCAGATAATTAGTTCGTGGTCGTCGGAACCTCATACGTTGCACTCGACGGAGGAATCCATCATCATTATATATATATATATATATATGTTCAAATCAAAATGAAAATAAGGTTTATTTACGCACGGTTTTCTATGAACTCATAAGTCAACTTTAAGTCAGCTTTAATTCCTCTTTTAAAATACGGAACACCACTATGCCCCTGATCGCGAGATTGGAGGTTTTGAGGAGCGAGAAAACTGCTGTCGATCCACTCTGACCCGGGGTGGTAGCACCTGTTAGGGTCCCAGTTATGGGTAAATGGTGAACCCCTAAACCATCAACACTTTGGAAGTATAAAAGTATTTTTTTATGGTGAAGATACCTGCAATACATTTTTATATTAAAAAATATCCTAACAATATATATTTACAGTAAAATTAACAATAATACGTATTTTTTTAAGGCAATGCATTTCACGTCGAATTACAAACAATAAATTTTATAGCAAAATGACCAATTCTACATTTTCTCTGTAGTCGATGCAAAAAATTGTGTTCAAAATATATTTGGCTGAAGACATAAAATTTTCTTCAAAATATTTAGATGTCGGCATTAGAGGTTGAAATTACGGTGTTACTAAAAACTTTTATTCAGAAATACAGTTATCAAAGCAAATATCCCCCACTTCCGTTCTTTGGAAATTTTCATAAAATGTCTTCTAGAAATTACATGTAGAGATGGAAAGGACTTTAATACATTAAGTAGTTGCTGGGGAACGAAATGGAAGGAAAAACGAAAAAAAGAAGGGAAAAAGAAAGAAAGAAAGAAAGAAAGAGGCCATGGGAAGAAGATGAAGTGATAACGCCGCAATTCCCCACTTGATGAGACATCTAAAAAAAGGCTTTCCCCTCCTTTTTTTGACGTTGAAACAAAAATGTGCAAATTTGTAGTGGATATGTGCATGTTCTAACACACACACACACACACATATATATATGTGTGTGTATTCCTGTAGATATTAGAGGCGACCCTTATAGAAGACAATTTTTCACCAGATACAATTCATTGGTGTACAGAATCACAAGCAAACACTGTACCAAATATTAACTATTACTATTATCATTTTTTATTATTATTATTATTATTATTATTATTATTAACTTTTAAGAATTTCTTTCATCAAACTATATATATATATATATATATATATATATATATATATATATATCAAATCCGAAAGTGGGAAGGATAATACAAGTAGATTTTAATATAAAATATTAAAAAGATATATTCATAAAGAGAGCTGAATATATAGCACACAGAGCAATATGATATACATCAAAGAAAAAAAAATTAATGCATAATCGAAAACTTGATTATAAATTATAATTTATTTCAACAAGTAAGTTTTTAGAACTTGTCTCATCAGACCGAAATTACAAATGGTTTAAATTTACAAAATGGTTTAAATTTGTCTAGACAATTTTTTTTTTTTTTTTCAAAAAAAAAAAAGATAACAGGAAGTCTAGTCAATTGACCTCGAAAATATATTTTCCGGGGAGTAATATTATTGAAGACATGGGTGGCAGGTCTCAACCTTATGTTCATGTGTGGTGTTTGGGAGAATATGAGTCACAGCCAGAGTAATAATTTAGAATAAAATACACATCTTCATTAAGCTTTCCCTCATTACCTTGGATCAACATGTAGGATTCACTTATAAAGAAACATTCGGCATTTAATTGGTCGCTCTCTGTTGAAATTTAAAAGCTCTATCTCCAAAAATAATTTTTCAAGAAAATAGATTTCACAAATTCACTCTTATCTCTCTTTCCGGTATTGATGTTTGCCATCCAATTTAGGTGTTGCTGCTGTTGAAGATATAGTCTCTAATATTTGGTACAGAGTTTGCTTGCGATTCTGTACACCAGTCTATTGTATCTGGTGAAATATTGTCTTCTTTGTAGGTCGTCTCTAAGATCTACAGCAATATATATATATATATATATATATATATATATGTGTGTGTGTGTGTGTGTGTGTGTGTGTGTGTGTGTGTGAGTATGTGTGAAAAGTGTATATAACTAAATATATATATGTATAAAAATTATAATTTCTGATTTTCTAAAATAACTTTTGAAAAAATGATAATTGATTTTTAAAAGAATTTCAAAGTGAGTTTTTCATTTTTTTTATAAAATGAAAAAAAAATGGTTGGCATGATCGATTATCTGTCAATTTTGCTGACTCAAAAATAAAAAAAAAGAGTTTTAACGAAAATTTCGGAAGTGCTAGGAACGATTAAAAAATGTAAAAAAAATACCCCCAAAATATTTTGATCTTACCTCTTAATAATAACATAAATATTTAGACGATAAAATTTTGTTTTCGTCAAGTTTGGCGTTTTTTTCATCATGCTATGCTCATTTTTTAGCGAGTTTAGTAAACACTGAAGTAAGAAAATGAGAGGCAACAGACTGTTTCATGCTAAACACAATCATTAGACCATCAGAGTGTTGACTTCAATTATATATATATATATATATATATATAGTAGTTTATGAAAGAAAATAACGAATAATAATAATAAAAATAATAACAACAACAACAATAATAATAATAATAATAATAATAATAATAGCTAATATTATGTACAGGTTTTGCTTGTAATTCTGTACACCAGTCAATGTATCTGGTGAAATGGTGTTTTCTTTGAGGGTCGCCTCTAAGAGGAATATTGACACACACACACACACACACAAACACACAGATAGATAGATAGATAGATAGATAGATAGATAGATAGATAGATAGATGCTTATAATGGACACTGATGGATCTATAGATAAAGATATGTGATGAAGACTGATAGATGCAGTAAGATTAGTTAAAAGACAAACTGATGTTGATTTTCTTTTCTTTTTTCAAAATGGCGCAACGAATATTTGTGAAAATGGCCTACCACTCAACTCGTTGTGACACCTGTACTGGCTGTCCAATTAGCTTGAAAGCTTCGACCTTTGACTTGTAGAAAATCCTATCAAACTGCCACCCTCACAAACAAATAAAAATAAGAGATAAATAATAAAAATACAAATACGATGTGATGTATGTAAATCAAATGCAGGTGCGACATTCGATTGAGTTTAAATGCAGTGTCTTTCAAAACTTTCAGCGTAACCAAAGTAACCAAAGAATAAAGATGTTTTACAGCACTGATGTCCATTCGTTCTTAGGCTGTCCTTGTCCGTCTGTCTGTCTATCTATCTGTTTCATTCTGTTCGATCTATCTATCTATCAGTCTTTTAATATCTATTTCTTTCTTTCTTTCTATCTCTCTATCTATCTATCTGTCTTTTAATAGCTATCTATCTTATAATATCTATCTCTCTATCTATCTATCTATCTATCTTTTAATATCTATTTATCTATCTATCTATCATTTTTTAATATCTATCTATCTATCTATCTATCTATCTATCTATCTATCTATCTTTTCCTGGTCATTCGGTAAGAAGCGTCTATCGCTGTAAGAATCGTTTTTTCTGTGAACACACATAACACTGTCACTATTGTGTCTTTCTCTCTCTTTTAGTATTGGTAGAGCGGTCGAGTAATGAATAGCGTCTCAGATTGAGGAATCGGAGAGCCGAGTTCGAATTCCAGTCGAATCTATTACATTCACTTACGTGCTAATACCCTTGGGAAAGGTATGAATCCTCTTCTTCTCCCCCTCACCCAATAGCAAATAAATGACCTGAATTCTTCTATACACAAAGCTACTCCAAATGGTGAGAATGACACTTGCTTTAATATATTTAATACGAAGATAGCGGTTCGGATTGAGGAATGGGAGAGACGAGTTCGAATTCTAGTCGAATCCATTGCATTCACTTACGTGCTAATAAATTGGGAAAAGTAAAATCCTTTTCTTCTCTCACCAGGTATAGGCAAATAACACGACAGACCGGGTTCTATAACTGGTGTACCGGAGAAAGAAATGGCAACCTACTGCAGGAAAAAATCTGCGTCGAAAGATACATGGTGGCCTAAGCGTGTATCACACATGGCACATAACTGACTGAGAGAAAATCATAGGACTAAACCGCTAAAACGTGAAACCCAGGGTCACAAACTCACATCTATCCAACCAAATATGTTAGCTCTATCTCTGATATTGAGCGCTTTCTAATAAGTACCGCGCATATAATATATAAATAATTATACATATATATATTTATTTATATTTATATACACTTTTCACACACACACACACACACACACACACACATATATATATATATATATATATATGTATATATATGTATATATATATAGTCCGTATCACTCTGTTCAAGGCTGTAAAGCTACGAAGATATAATGGATTACAGGTTGTGGAAGAATTATGTACACAAGCATTAATAATGAGCGGAAGAGCAAAGCACAACCAGGAAGACAGTTGATAGCGATTGACATTGCATTTAAATTGTTGCAGATTAAAGTTGGAAAGCCTGAAGCAGGATGGGCGTTCCACAAGCGAGAAATGCGAGAAAAGAATCTGTTAGGGAGATTTCGACGCCAGTCTAGTAATGCGCTTAACTTAATGACTTCTAAATTCTAGATACCATAGGGAAGATCACATCCGAACAATTACCTGGAAAGTGTTTATAGGGAACATTAAGGCGGTGTTTCAGTTACTGAAGCCGAGCGTTCAGATCACGACCAATAATATTGCAGATTCTTCTCTGGATTTTCCCAAGGAGCTGAAGGTAAATAGCAGGGACATCGGACCATATGTGGCAGTAATATTCTAAGCATGGACGAATGGTAAACGTATAGAGATGTAAGATAGATTCTGAAGAGAAAAGATGTCTCACACTACACAGGAAACCGACTTTATTAACACACATAATTTACGTCTAAAGAAAGCGTTTCTTAAAATGCTGTTTAATTCTCACGTGTTCAACACACATACTCTTATACGTAAACACAAACACACATATATATATATATATATATATATATATCGACATGGAAAGTCAGACATACAGACATATAGACAGATAAATTTGAAAAAACAGAAATATATATATATATATATATATATATATGTATATATATATATATAATTATTATTTATAAAAAAAATTATAACATAAGTATGTTATAAAATCACTACAAAAATAGCCATTTTGTTTCAACACACTCTGTGTTTTATCAAGTGATGATGTTGAAAATCTAAAGAAATATCTGCTCTACTTTGTATTGAGCACTCTTTTAAGAATAGTAATTGTTGGTTATTGGAATTCATTCCGTATATACCAATTATATACTTGTATATATATATATATATATATATATATATAATTATTTATTTAAAACTTATAACATAAATATGTTATAAAATCACTACAAAAATAGTCATTTTGTTTCAACTCCTCCAGTGTCTTATAAAGTGATGATGTTGAATGTAGAATATATTTTATTCTGGAGGTGTTGAAACAAAATGGCTATTTTTGTAGTGATTTTATAACATATTTATGTTATAATTTTTGACTAAATAATTATATCTGCTCTACTCTTTTAAGAATAGTAATTTTTGATTATTGGAATTTATTCCATATACACCAATCCTATACTTTGATATATATATATATATATATATATATATATATATATTATATATATTAATTGCAAAAATAATGACGTAATAATGTCGTTTTTTTTGACGTTAAAAAAAATATGTCAAAAAAGCGACATTATTACTTTATTTTGCAAAACCTAATATATATATATATATATATATATATATATATATATATATATATATATATATACAAGTTCGTCTCATCACCAATCAATGCTATTTCACATTCAATAACAGAATTTACAAATACAAATTTGGATTACTAATGGGGTTACCTCTCAGTGACATGTATTTTCATGAAATTTCTCGAACCTGCTTCTTTCCAAATCATTTTATTTATAAAAGCAAGTTACTTCCGATATATTAATGATTCTCTATTAATATATCCTCGTGATACTAACTTACCAGATCTTGTAGATAAACTAAACAAGGTCTAACACTGATTAGAATTTACGCACGAAATAAAACAATACAAAACCTGAATTTACCTTAGACATGTTCCACCAAGTTGACTACAGCCTAATAATTCGCGCCTAATAAAAATCAACCAAATGAAATGAGCTAATAAACTTCTATTTCCATGATAACTACAAAATAAAATCTGAAATGATCACTGGATTCTTTTTAAGAGCATTCAGAATTTGAAGCCCTCAGTATTTACTCTAAGAGGAGAAATATATTGAAAATTTTATCAAGAGCCCTCAATACCCTAAGTATTTAATATTCAGTGCGAAACAAAAGTCTTATAAAATATTCCAAAATAGAACTGCTGCCCTTCCTGACAAACTCAACAAATAAAAAAGAAATGTATTATTTAAAACACTAACTCTATCACAACTAAAGCCGGAAAGAGTTTATTTAAACTCAACATCAAATTAGTCACAGCTACATCTAAAACAATCAAAGACTTCATCAATAAAAAAAAAAATCCAAACCAACCAGCCAAGCCTTGTAGGAGGAATTTATTCTATCATGTGCAAGAATGACCAGAATTAATACATTGGATAAACCTTATGAAGCTGTTTCTTTTCAAATCATTTTACCTAAGCAATCTAGTTAATTCCGATATATTGATGATGCTCTATTAATATATCCCCGTGACACTAACTTACCAGATCTTGTAGTTAAACAAAATAAAGTCGAACACAAAATCAAATTTACATGCTAAATAGAAAAAAAAACCCCCAAAACAAACAATGCTTTACCTTTCTTAGACATCATCTTATACCGAGGGGATAACAGCCTAAAACTTAGTTTCCACCGAAAAATCAACGAATTTTCCCATCATAACATCGGACTGGGATTTGTTGATCTTGCCACTTCTACACATCCGCAGCGATATTCATCCAAGTATACGGATAACCTTAGAGCAGTGCCCCAAGAGCCACGTCTTAATTATGTATAGTGAAAGGATAGATAGATAGATAGATAGAATTAACTATATTTAACAAGAGACAATATGAACACAAAAGGGACATATTAAATAAGACCACATAAAACGAATTGGCTGTTCACCTTAAAACCTTAATGAAACTGACCACAATATTGACATAGGAAATGCTACTTTGATTAAAAGAGAAAATAATCCACTGAAATGAAAATGTTTTCTAAGTGGCTTGATCGCTCGTTAAATTTGTGTCCAGGCTTTTACAATATATCGCCATTCTTGGTAGATTTTCTGTTGTTTATAGTGTGGGATAGTGAGGGACAAATTTGATGGAGAGAAAATAAAGAGAATAGAGATGAATATGACTAGATTGAATATTCCATAAAAAAAAAAAACAAATACTATTTTAAAAATATTTCAACATTTTGAAACTACCAGCGTCTCTCATTTCTCGTTTCGTGCGTATATGTAGACTTGACTACATCAACAAAGCCCAGACCGATGATATCCTGACGGATGAAAAACTTTTCAAAGTATTTTTCTAAATACTGTTTGTTGATAGATAAAATTATGCAAAATGATATACTGTTATATCCCATTATAAATATATACACACACACACACACACACACACACACACACACACACACACACACACACACATATATATATATATATATATATATATATATAGGGAGCGATGGATAAATTGTCGTATAAATTAGGCAAAAATGAAAATAACAGGGGCATATATATTTACCAAAATTACAAAAAATATCTTGAAATACAAAAGAGTAAATTTATTTAATAAAATCGCTATTGTCTTCATTCATGGCCTCCAAATGACTTCAGAATCTCCTGCAACTCTTCTGAACGGTTTCATTATTTATGTCATAATTCTTGCCTTCAGTTCATCTTTGGTGTTAGAAGAAGTTTTATTGGTGACTCGCTCAACTGCGCACCACACGTAATAATCAAGGGGGTTCTAGTTTGGGGAGTTATGTGGCCAAATGTAAGGAGGGATAAGGTCGCAGAAATTGTCTGACAGCCATGACTGGGTTCTCATGATTGTGTGGAATGCTGCATAGTCCGGTTGACAAATATATGTTCCTCCAGAAAAGCGTTAATAGAAAAGAAAATTGGAATATGAGCTCTGGTACAAAAAAAAAGGAATGATAACAGCAAAAATTGCAATATGAGCACTGGTAATATATATATATATATATATATATATATGTATATATATATATACAAGAGGCACGATGTGTGTGTAACGATTTGGACCAAAATTTACATGCCCATGCTCCAAGTTAGCGGGAAGGCCAAGACCGACTTTGCGTTTCCCAACTCCCATCGATAGTGGAAATAATCGATTTTTTCGTGCTTTTTTCGGCAGTTTTCATGTAGTTTGCGGCCATTTTGTACTGGCCAGAGTGAGAGCCTATAGCTGGCTGCCATGAATAGGCAAGAAGATTCTATTGGCCAGCGTGAAAGCCAACAGCTGACTGACACGAATGTTAACTAGCATGCTAACATGGCAAAAAAATCGATAGCTGCATTCGTCACAAGTGGGAAAATTTTAAATCTGCATGGCTCTTTACTCCAATTGGCTCATTCGCTTGCTTAAAATCAACATTGATTCTGATTCCGAAGAACTGGGTTGGGTGTGAAAAAGAATTTGTTGCTAACATTCTTTTTTCATTCGGTTTTTCCAGTTACGAGTCCTTTTTTACAGCTGATCTTTTTGTGTTCATTTTGTTTAGTTCTTTTTTCGTAACAGATTTAATGTTTAGTATAGAGCTTAGAAAAAATTCGCAGTATGAGATAGGCAAGAAGTAAGACATGTAGCAACATCAGCACGGCAAAGGGCACTCCTTTAAAAGGCGAGGAAGGCAAAAGTATTTTAAGTCAAGTGATAGCGATTGCTGTATGAGTCGTAAGATTTTTGAATCAAGCACGGGCAACGTCGGGTCTTGCTGTTAGTATATATATATATATATATATATATATATATATATATACAGAGAGAGAGAGAGTAATCCTATGGGATAATCCAAACGAGTCGTATTAACACAATCTGACTCACAAAAAGAGCGCTTAGTGTTCATTTTAATTAAAACGAGCAAAATTTTTCGTACAATTGGAATTAAAATACCATTAGTTAATGATCATTTTCACCCGTGAATTTTAAATTTAAAGTTTGCAGGATTTTTCAAACTCTTTATGATGTCAGTACATAGAAGGATATATATATATATATATATATATATATATATATATATATATATATATAATAATAAAAGGAAATAAAAAAAATAAATTTTAAATCTCTCCCTTCTCTCTCTAAACTGAATGTCGGAGAAATTGTCATAGAAAATATATGTCCTCCGACAGGAATCGAACCTGTATTCTATACAGAACCGTCATATAGCTTGACGTGCTTTTACCGATTTCTAGCAAGATCGATTTTACTGGTTTTTTTCCATGACAATTTCTCGGACATTCAGGCCGGTAATTGTTTTTTAATACTGTTTATTATAAACAGAGCATTTAATTAAATATTTGTATCTATAAAAAAGAATGTATAAATATAAAATGTCTTAATATATATATATATATATATATATATATATATATATATATATATATATATATGAGAAATATAGTTTTAAGGAGTGGCATATTTATGGGATAACGTGCTAAATATCGGAGATAGAGCGCATGTAGATATAAAAGTGAACAGTTTTGAATTAAGTGTTCATTATATATATATATATATATATATATATATATATGTCTATTTCTATCTCTCTAGATATGTATGCGTGTATGCGAATATGTATACATATTTTTCTCTCTCATTCCGTCTTTTTAAATCTATCTGTATATGTTTATACATCTATTATTTATCTATTTGTTCATATATATTTACACCTATGTCTTTCTATTCAAATGTTTCACGCCTATCTGTAAGTTTTATAATATATATATGTATATGTGTATATATATATATATATATATATATATATATATATATATATATATATATGCATTAGTTCTCATATATCTATCTATCTATCAACCTATCTACCTACCTACCCATCTATCTTAGTCTGATTATTTATATCTCTCTGTCTATCTATTCATCCATCTATCTATATCTGATTCATATCAATCTATCTTTGTCTGATTATTTCTGTCTGTCTATCTCAATATTTCAGATCTATAAATTTATCTCAATCTTAATCTATTTATTTAAATGTTCAGATCTATGTATGTATGTATGTATGTATCTATCTTTCTATCTATCTACTAAGCTGTCCCTATCTATCTATCTATCTATCTATCTATCTATCTATCTATCTACTAAGCTGTCCCTATCTATCTATCTATCTATCTATCTATCTATCTATCTATCTATCTATCTATCTATCTATCTATGTACTAAGCTGTCCCTATCTATCTTTCTCTATCATCTATCTATCTATCTATCTATTTTCTCTGTCCCTATCTATCTATTTTTTTATTTATCTATCTATCTATCTATCTTCATCTATCTACGTAAATTGTCCCTTTTCGTTCTATCTATCCTATTTATCTATCTATTCATTCGTGTGCTAAACTTTGGTCTATTTATCTATCTATCTATCTATCTTTCTATCTATCTATCTATAATTTGTCTAATCTATCTCTATCCTTCTCTATCTATCTATCTTTCTACCTATCTATCTATCTTTCTTTTTTATCTATCTTTCTATCTGTCCCTTTTCTGCTATCTATCTATCTATTTTCTATCTACTAAGCTGTCTCTATCTTTCTATCTTCCTATCTATCTTCTATCTTTTTCTTCCTATTTCTATCTATGTTCTGTCTGATTCATATTCGATCGATTTTCTATCTATCGGTTTTCTTTTTTTCCCCCAACTTCAATCAAATTTTTTTCCTTTTCTACCGTCCTTTCAATTTAATGATTAACCCTTTCATTTTCTTTATTTGCTTTATATGACTCGATGTTTTCCTTTAAAAAACATTTTTTCTGACCTTTTCGTTTATCGTTTTTAAAGCAGGTTTCTTTCCATTTAACATTTCCTTTTTCATTTCATTATTGCTCTTTGATCTTTTAGTGAATTTTTCTTTCGAAATCCGCTTCGGTTCAGGTATTTTTTTTTTTTTTTTACTCGAAATTTCTTTTCTTTTTCTTCACCAATTCTTTCAGTAAATATTTCTTTATTTTTTTTTTATCGCATTTATCTTTGTTTTTTTTTTTTCCCTCTTTTTTTTATTTCTTTCTGCTTGTTGATTTTTGTATTTTTTTTACTTACCTTTCTTTCTTTCTTTTTTTCTTACATTCTTTTTTTCTTTCACTCTGTGTTTTCTCTTCTTTCCTTCTTTAATATTTCTTCTTTTTTCGCTTCTTCTGTTTCATTACTCCTCAATTTTCTATCGTTTTCTTTTCTGCTTTAAATACATTTTCCTTTCAATTCCTTTCTTTCGTTTATTCATTTGTTTCCTTCTTATAATCATTCACTCTGATTTTTCTTCTTTTCTTCTTCCTTTCTGTTTAATGCTTCTTTCTTTCTTCTTTTCCTTACTCCTCAATTTTCTATAATTTTCTTTTCTGCTTTATATACATTTTCCCATCAAATTCTTTCTTTTATTTTGTACTTTATTCTGAACTTCTTGGTTAAATTGCCATCTTTCGTCTGTTTAAAAAAAAAATCTTCATTTTTATTTCTCTTTTCTTATGATCATTCTTATTTATTTGCATTATTTTTATTTTATTTTCCCTCTCCAGTGCTGCATTTCTTAAAGTCAAGCCCATTTCGGTCTTTTCATTCACCCCCTTTAATTTTTTCTTTTCATTTCTTTCTTTCTTTCTTTCTTTCTTTCTTTCTTTCTATGCATTATTGCATTATTTCGTTATTTCTTTTCCGTTTATTCTTTCTTTCTTTCTTTCTTTCTTTCTTTCTTTCTTTCTTTCTTTCTTTCTTTCTTTATTCTTACACTTATTGTTTTTATTTTTTTATTTCACCCCTTTCTCTGTTTTGTCTATAATTTCTTTCTTTCCTCCTTTCTTTCTTTCTTTCTTTCTTTCTTTCTTTCTTTTTTCTTTCTTTCTTTCAATGCATTATTGCATTATTTCGTTATTTCTTTTCCGTTTATTCTTTCTTTCTTTCTTTCTTTCTTTCTTTCTTTATTCTTACACTTATTGTTTTTATTTTTTTATTTCACCCCTTTCTCTGTTTTGTCTATAATTTCTTTCTTTCCTCCTTTCTTTCTTTCTTTCTTTCTTTCTTTCTTTCTTTCTTTCTTTCTTTCTTTCTTTCTTTCTTTCAATGCATTATTGCATTATTTCGTTATTTCTTTTCCGTGCATTCTTTCTTTCTTTCTTTCTTTCTTTCTTTCTTTCTTTCTTTATTCTTTCTTTTCAATCTTTCTTTTTCTTTCTTTCTTTTCCGTGCATTATTTCTTTCATTATTTCTTTATTTCTTTTTCTTTTCTATCTTTTGCATTCTTTCTTTCTTTCTTTCCCTTTTTTTCTTTTTTTTTCTTTCTTTCTTTATTCTTACACTTATTGTTTTTTATTTTTTTTATTTCACCTTTTCTCTGTTTTTGTCTATAATTTCTTTCTTTCCTCCTTTCTTTCTTTCTTTCTTTCTTTTTTTCTTTCTTTCTTTCTTTCAATTTATTGCATTATTTCGTTATTTTTTCTTTTTTCCGTTTTTTCTTTCTTTCTTTCTTTCTTTATTTCTTTTTCTTTTTCTTTTTTTTATTCTTTCCTTTTTTTTTTTTTTTTTCTTTGCCTTTTTTCTCTGTTTTGTCTATAATTTCTTTTTCTTTCCTCCTTTCTTTCTTTCTTTTTCTTTTTTTGGTTCTTTCTTTCTTTCAGACAATGCATTGTTGCATTATTTCGTTATTTTGGTTCTAGTTTATTCTTTCTTTCTTTTCTAGACATTTTCTTTCTTTTTTTCTTTCTTTCTTTATTCTTACAAAGTATTGTTTTTTTTTTTTGATGTCACCCCTTTTTCTGTTTTTGTCTATAATTTCTTTCTTTCCCTCCTTTCTTTCTTTCTTTCTTTTTTCTTTCTTTCTTTCTTTCTTTCTTTCAAATGCATTATTTCAATTTCTTATTGCATTTTCTTTTTTTCTTTTTTCTTTATTTCTTTCTTTCTTTCTTGCTTTTTCTTTTTTTTTTTTCTTTCTTTTATTCTTTCAAAAAGTATTGTTTTTTTTTTTTTTTATTTTTCCCCTTTCTCTGTTTTGTCTATAATTTCTTTCTTTCCTCCTTTCTTTCTTACCTCCTTTCTTTCTTTCTTTCTTTCTTTCTTTCTTTCTTTCTTTCTTTCTTTCAATGCATTATTGCATTATTTCGTTATTTCTTTTCCGTGCATTCTTTCTTTCTTTCTTTCTTTCTTTCTTTTTTTTCTTTGTTTTTTTTTTCTTTTCTTTCTTTCTTTTTTTCAATTGCATTGTTTTTCCCTTTTCTCTATTTTGTTTTTTCTTTCTTTCTTTTTTCTTTCTTTCTTTTCTTTCTTTTCTTTCTATGCATTATTGCATTATTTCGTTATTTCTTTTCCAGACATTCTTTCTTTATTTCTTTCTTTTTTTTCATTCTTTCTTTAAGTATTGTTTTTTTTATTTTTTATTTCACCCCTTTCTCTGTTTTGTCTATAAAAAGTATTTTCTTTCCTCCTTTCTTTCTTTCTTTCTTTTTTCTTTTCTTTTTTTCTTTCTTTTCTTTCTTTCAATGCATTATTGCATTATTTCGTTATTTCTTTTCCGTGCATTCTTTCTTTCTTTCTTTCTTTCTTTCTTTCTTTCTTTCTTTCTTTCTATGCATTATTGCATTATTTCATTATTTCTTTTCCCTTTATTCTTTCTTTATTTCTTTCTTTCTTTATTCTGACACTTATTGTTTTTATTTTTTTATTTCACCCCTTTCTCTGTTTTGTCTATAATTTCTTTCTTTCCTCCTTTCTTTCTTTCTTTCTTTTTTTTTCTTTCTTTCTTTTCTTTCTTTCAGTGATTTTTTCATTATTTCGTTATTTATTTTCAGTTTAAACTTTTCTTTCTTTCTTTTTTCTTTCTTTCTTTCTTTCTTCTGACAACATTTTTTTATTTTTTTTTTCACCTTTTTTTCTGTTTTGTTTCTAGAAAAGTTTCTTTCCTCCTTTCATTTTTCTTTTCTTTCTTTTTTTTCTTTCTTTCAATGTTTTATTGCATTATTTCGTTATTTTATTTTTTATTTTTTCTTTCTTTCTTTCTTTCTTTCTTTCTTTCCTCTTTTCTTTCTTTCATTATTGCATTATTTCGTTATTTCTTTTCCTTTAAAAGTTCTTTATTTCTTTTCTTTTCTTTATTCTGACACTTCTTGTTTTTATTTTTTATTTCACCCTTTCTCTGTTTTTGTCTATAATTTTTTCTTTCCTCCTTTCTTTTTTTTTCTTTTTTCTTTCTTTCTTTTTTCTTTCTTTTTTCTTTTTCTTTCTTTCTTTCTTTCAGTTTCAATGCATTATTGCATTATTTCGTTGTTTTTTTCTAGTTTATTCTTTCTTTCTTTCAGTGATTCTTTCTTTCTTTTCTTTGTTTATTCTTAAAAAGTATTGTTTTTTATTTTTTTTTTGCCTTTTTCTCTGTTTTTTTATCTATAAAGTCTTTCTTTCCTCCTTTCTTTCTTTGCTTTTTTTCTTTTTTTTTCTAGAAAAGTTTCTTTCTTTCTTTCAATGCATTATTGCATTATTTCGTTATTTCTTTTCCGTTTATTCTTTCTTTCTTTCTTTGATCTTTCTTTTTCTTTTTGTTCTTTATTCTTACACTTATTTTTTTATTTTTTTATTTCGCCCTTTCTCTGTTTTGTCTATAATTTCTTTCTTTCCTCCTTTCTTTTCTTT